GGTTCAAGTCCTGGACCTGGCGGCTTGTTTTTTTCCTTTTCTTTGCCTCTCTCTATCTGGTGTGAAAGTGAATAATTTTTTGAGATAATGAAAATATTTATTGTCCTGATGTGATCATGATACATTATATATAAGAAATGAAATATCACATTGTACCCCATAAATATGTACAATCATTATGTCAATTCAAATTATTATAATAATTTGGGCCATCAGGTAGCATAGTGGTTAATGTGCTGGATCCCACAGAGCTAACTTCATGGTTTGAGTCCTTGGCCCAGTGGCTTGATAAGCACACTGGGAATGTGTACATGTATGCCCCAAATCCCAGAGAATGGAGGAGAAGGGATTGGGACATGGCCACCTCCCAGTGAATAATATTTTTTTAATTATGATGGAAATAAATCATTACCTCACGTCAAATGAGTAAATTTTAAAATGTGAATTTCAATGACAGACTATCTTTTAAAGAATTACAAGGGATGTTCAAAAAGTTCATGGAAATGTGTATCGAGGAACAAACCATGCACGGATTTCAATTTTCTTGCACCAAAATAAATTTGCATTTTAATTTCATTTTCCACAAAGTATTCATTCCTCTCATCCATTTCCAACTTAAATTTCTACTCAGCTTCCACAAATTAATCATAAAATACTGTTTACATGATACTACAAAATAAGCATTTATATCTATAACATAACTACCACTGCATTTTTAATGTAAGTCCTAGTTTATGATAACTACAGAGCAGAAGACTTGTTAATTAAATATGTCAAGAGGCCAGTGGATAGTGTAGCGGTTGCGTCGCTGGACTCCCACATGGCTAAGTGCAGTCTGAGTCCCAGACCCAGTGGCTTGAAAATCACGCTGGGCGTGTGCATGCTTGTCCAAGATCCCAAGAAGAGAACAGAGGACAAGGGACTATGGCATGGCCATCACCCTGAGAGAATGATTTCTCATTTTAGGTCTCTCTGGTGAGCACACATGCCCTATAGCAAAAATCTCTCCAAAACAATAAATATATAAGTATGTCAATACTGCTGCAAACCAAGAATGAGGGATCTAATGTTACACTTATGAAAATAGGATTTTGCCCAGCCTATGTGTTCTATCTATAATTCTGCTAAATGTATTATGATATATGATATAAACCTTAGTTAAGTGGAGTTTTTTACTCTGACTTTTAAACTCCAAGAAAGAACACTTGAGGGACCAGCAGTTAGCGTAATGGCTATGTTGCAGTACTCCCACAGAGTCAACTGTGGTTTCTGTCCCAGACCCAATGGCTTAAAACTCACACCGAGCATGTGTGCGTAAGTGCCCAAGATCCCGAGAGGAGAATGGAGAAGGGACTGCGGCATGGCCATCCCCTCGGAGGGTGATTTCTCACTTTCTGTCTCTGTCTCTGTCTGTCTGGCAAGCGCACGTGCCGTATAGCAAAAACCTCTAAAAAAAAAAAGAAAGAAAGAACACTTGATTCAAAAAAAAAAACCCTAACACTAAGTGTCAGTTTATAACTGGCAATGTACTGCCACAAAAAAAACAGGTTTCAACCACATTAATGCCATCATGTTGGGAATAAAGAATGTTCTTCAATACATTTCTTCTACCTATGAGACACCTTACTACCACAATCTCAAAAGCAACTTTCATTAATAAAGGTTCACATACAAGATATTTCACTTACTGATTCCAAGTCTTACAGAACACAGCACTCCTCCAAACAATTCTCAATCATTAAAAAAGGCTCTGGAACCAGTAGATTACGTAATGGTTATGTTGCTGGACTCCCACATAGTCGACTGTGGTTTGAGTCTGGGCTTAAAACTCACGCCAGGCACATGTGTGTGTGTGCCCAAAATTCCTAGAGAATAGAATGCTGTGTGGCTGTCTCCTCTGGAGAGTGATTTCTCACTTTCTGTCTCTCTCTTTCTTTATCTCAGTCTTTCTCTGCCTCTCGGAATAGCACATATGCCCTGTAGCAAAAATCTCTCAAAACAAAACAAAAACAAAAAAATAAATAAATAAATCTTAGTGTCTAAATAAAAGATAAAAAGGAAAGTTCTGGGGCTGGCCGGCGGTAAGGTGTTTAAGCCGCTGGACTCCCACATGGCACATGTGCTGCAATTCAAGTCCTGGCCTGGCAGCTCATATGTTCACTTTCTCTCTTTCTCTCTCTCTCTTTCTGTTGCTTTTCTCGTCAAAATTGGGAAATAGTAATAATAAATAAAGTTAAAAAAATAAAAAAGTTCTAAGTACTTAAGATATGAATGAAAGCATTTTCAAAAGTTAAATAAGAGGTGGGACCAGCAGTTAGCGTAGTGGCTATGTCGCTGGACTCCCACATAGTCAACCACGGTTTGAGTCCCGGACCGCTTCAACCCAACTCACGCCGGGCGCCTGTGCATGCATGCCCAAGATCCGGAGAGAATGGAGAAGGGATTGGTGCGTGGCCATCCCCCATGGGGGGTGATTTCCCTTTGTCTCTCTCTGTCTTTCTGGCGAGATCCAACCCCCATAAAAAAAAAAAAAAAAAAAAAAAAAACAACTCTCAAAAAAAGAAAAGAAACGTTAAATAAGAGGGCCAGCAGGTGGCGTGGTGGTTAAGGGCACTGGACTCCCACACAGCCGACCGAGGTATGAGTCCTGGACCTGATGGCCTGTTTGCTCATTTTTCTTCTTTCTCACTCTGTCCCTCTCTGGTCAAATTGAGAATAAATAAATACATAAATAAAGTAATTCTAAAAAAACAGTTAAATAAGATATTCAGAGCTATAGTGTCATGGCTAATCAATCAAAATATATATGCGAGCACTTCCCCGGTATTTTTGTCAAAAACATATTATCTGAATCTCATTAAGAAATAACCTAGGAACCAGCAGTTAGTGTAATGGCTATGTCACTGAACTCCCATGTAGTCGACTGCGGTTAGAATCCCAGACCCGGTGGCTTAAACTCACACTGGGCATGTGTACGTGTGTGCCCAAGATCCCAAGAGGAGAACGGAGAAGAGACTGTGGCGTGGCCATGCCCCCCCAAGGGGGGCGATTTCTCGCTTTCTGTCTCTCTGTCTTTCTGGCAAGCGCACGCGCCCTATATCAAAAACCTCTCCACAAAGAAAAAAATAAAAGGAAATAATCTATAAAAACTCAGATCACAGGTGATTCTCCAAAACAAAATGAACTATAAGACAAAAATGCTAATGAACTATAAGACAAAAATGCTATGAAAATATTTTTCTTAAACGTGACAGGAGCTAGATTAAAGAAAATAACTAAATGCAACAGGCAGTCCATGATTATAAAATAGATTTATAAAAAAAGAAAAACTGGGGCCAGCAAGTGGCCTGGTGGTTAAGGCCACTCAATTCCATGTGGCCAACAGCACAGTTTGAGTCCTAACCTGGTGGCTTGAGAGACTAGCAGGGCAAATGTGCATGTGTGCCCAAAATCCAGGGAACAACATGACTATCCTCCCAGGGGGTACTCTCTCTTTTGTCTCTCTCTGGCAAGCAGACATGCCCTATAGCAAAATAGGAGGACACATGCATTAAAATACATAGGGAAATTTTAATAATCAACTGTAGCAAAAAACGAATGAAGGGAACATGAATGTTCAATATATTATTCTTTCAACTTCCCTGGCTACATAGAATATTTCCAAACAAAGAGCATAGAAAAAAATTCAAAAGTGAAATTTAAACCTACAGGGACCAGCAGTTGGCATAATGGCTATGTCACTGGACTCCCAGTTAGTAGACGGCAGTTTGAGTCCTGGACCCGGTGGCTTGATGAACTCCATGTGTGCTCAAGATCCCAAGAGGAGAATGGAGAAGGGATTGCAGCCGTGGCCATCCCCCCGGGGGGTGATTTCTCGCTTTCTGTCCCTCTGTCTCTCTTTCTGGAGAGTGCACGCGCCCTATAGCAAAAACTTCTCCCCCACCCCCCCAAAAAATTAAACCTACAAGTAACCTTTATCAATACCTATGCAGTAGCAAGGAAAACTAAAGAAAAATAGATCTATATGCACTACTATGAAATTAAATCAAATGCCAATTTTTTAAAGAGAAGAAAAAATCTGGGCAACTAATACCACTTCCTTCAAAGGATTTTGATATAAATGAACAAAACACTTAAGACTAAGAGCTGCGAGGGTGGGGGTGGTGAGGGGACGGCGGGGGAGTTTATGTGTGCAAGAATGTGAATCCATTAACTCGTTATGAGTTTTCTGAGTAGATAATATTGTACACGGAAATTTTACCACTTCCAAATACACTACTAGGAAAGTGGCTGTGACCGGTGAATGCCGGCCAAGATTTGGATTTTAAAGTATACAGCAGGGATAACCCTGCACTGGCTTACTCTTTTCTGAAAGATTTGGAACAGTGTGACCTTCCAGGAAGAAAATTTAATCAGTTGCCAGAAGGGCGAATAGACACGATGTTTACGAACAGAGATGGGCTCGGTCAGATAAGCCAAGATGCTGCTCAAGTTTAGCGAGGCTGCCCTGGAGAACAAACTGGACCCACTCCCATCTTGCCATCAGCCGCAGGCTTTCTCGCCAGCGACAGCGGCCTGACACTAAGGCCTTAAGAAGCGGACAGCTGCTGCGGCGCAGTCTCCGCGACACCCAGAGTGCACGAACGGTGCCAGCATTTGCCATGAGGACTACTCGGGGCCCACCTGCGGCCATCTTAAGCCGGGGGAGGAGGGCGGGGAGTACTGAATTCAAGACCCGGGGGCGACACGAGCCCCCGAGGCACGGAAAAGGAAACCACTCTGAATCTTTTGTAAGGGCTTGGTACACAGACCAACACCAAAACCGGACTAACGAGGAGAGCAGGACCGCCGAGAGCCGGTCGCCCTAATCAAATATGGGCACCAAGGGAAACCCGGACGCTCACGTGACCGGCGCCGCGCGCCCGCGCTCTCCCCACGCCTCAGCTCCGGAGGTCTCTATGGCGCCCGCGCCCCTCCCCCAGCCGAGCTCCGGCACTTACTCGGGGGGGTAGAGCCGCAGCCCCCCCACTTCTCCCA